CTTCTTCTTCTTCTTCTTCTTCTTCTTCTTCTTCTTCTTCTTCTTCTTCTTCTTCTTCTTCTTCTTCTTCTTCTTCTTCTTCTTCTTCTTCTTCTTCTTCTTCTTCTTCTTCTTCTTCTTCTTCTTCTTCTTCTTCTTCTTCTTCTTCTTCTTCTTCTTCTTCTTCTTCTTCCTCTTCTTCCTCTTCTTCCTCTTCTTCTTCTTCTTCTTCTTCTTCTTCTTCTTCTGTGTCTAAATCAAACTTTAAACTGCCAGAATGAAGCCAGTTTCTTGGCTTTGTCATTGGCCCAAAATAAGCCATTATTGGTACATGTTTCTGGTAGCAGCCAACATACCAGCACAATTTAGAGCACTCACAACTTCCTGAGGCAACTTCTACTGATTAATGATTCTCATTGTTAGCAAAATTTAACTTAGTTTTAAGTTGGATCTCTCCTTAATTAGTTTCCATCCATGTCTTCTTGTTCTGCCTTCAGATTCTTTGGCAAATAGGTTGAACCCGCCCCCCCCCTCTTCTTTGTGACAGCTCCTCAAATATTGGAAGAATGCTATCATGTCATCCCTAGACTTCCTCTTCATTAGATTATAGCAGTGGTGGCAAACCTATGGCATGGGTGCCAGAGGCGGCACTCAGAGCTCTCTCTGTGGGCATGCGTGCCGTCACCCCAGTCCTAGGCCTTCAGCTGGGTTTTATAAAACCTTTTCTCTTTAGGCCTCTGCCACCGTGTACAAAAAAAAAAAGGTTCAATCAATCAGTCAATTTCAACTTCTTGCAGGAAAAAAAAGATCTTGCAAAGTTGGAATTGATTGATTGAACTTTTTAGTCCCATCCAGTCTGCTGTTACCACCGCAGCCACGCCCACCCAATGGGCCACGCCCACCCAATGGGCCACACCCACCCAATGGGCCACACCCACCCAGCACCCTACGATGCATAAGTGGGTTTTGGGTTGCAGTTTGGGCACTCGGTCTCTAAAAGTTTCGCCATCACTGGACTATAGACATACCCAGTCCATCATGTTTAATTAATATCATTTCTCCTGCGAGTCCCAGGTTTAGTTAAATTAATCTGGATTTAGTATGTTGTATGAAAGCAATCGTGAAGTAGCTAGGAACCAGTGTGGGGAATGGGGTGCCTTGAGATAGAATAGTTTTCCTATCTGATCTACGCTGGATATTCAAGGAAGAAATCAAAGAGAAAACACCGTTCATTTTTTTCCTGTCCCTTTCTCCAAAATCCCCCACTGATCAGTTCATAGAAAGAATAACACGGGGAATTAACGACTGTGTTAATTAGAGAAACACCCGTAGAAACAGTGCTTTGATGGTGCTGATATCATCAATAATATTAGGAATAATTGCAGTGGTAGCTGCAGTAGCAGCAGCAATTGTGGTAATAATGAGGCACGATTACAACTTTACAAATTGCAGCTTTAGAGCTCTTAGACCCTAATATTTAGTTTGCCCGTCCAAGATTAATTGGACGTCTAGGAAAGTTAGAAAAGACCTGGGCTTATTGACTCACCTTCAATTAAACAATATGCAAGTTGCTTTAGTGCCACCACATTCCCTGGCAAAAACTATTGAGTAGCCGGTGACGGGAGCCACAAGAGTCAGCGTTGTTGGCAATAATCTGGAATACTGTCTATACACTGATAAGCAGGGGTTGTTATTTGAACACAGAGGCTTTGGGTGAATGCAGAAATTTTGTTTACGCAACAGATAACATGTCTAGTTTATACAGTTTAATAGCAGCTGCCAGGGTGGTGGGGGACATCTAAAAAGGAAAATAAGTACCTTTTCTGATTCAGATCTATCCTGATTAATAGCAGTTGCTCCTCCACCCCAGTTTGAGCCAGAAACCCGAAGCTTACAGTCACAAAGCTTGTTGTAACTTCTTTGGAAATGATTTTCAACCAGCTTACAGCAGGGAAGGAAACACGGTTGAGTTTGTCTCTTTAATAATAACTAAACCAGGGGTGTCCAACTTTGGCAACTGTAAGACCTGTGGACTTCAACTCCCAGAATTCCCCAGCCAACATGCTGGGGAACTGTCACAGATTTGGTCAAACAAGTTTGTTTATGGAAATTGCTGCCGTAAGACGTGATGATAGCCGTTAGCTCTCAGTGACTACATCAAGTCTATCGGTGGCCAGTAGTCTTGAGAGGAAGATGAAATCTTCAACTGTAGGTAGTCCTCAACTTACAACAATTCATTTAGTGACATTCAAAGTTACAACGGCACTGAAAAAAGTGACCTACGGCCATTTTTCAAACTTACAAACAACCCTTGCAACATCCCCGTGGTCGGGTGATCAGAATTCAGATATAATAATAATAATAATAATAATAATAATAATAATAATAATAATAGTAGTAGTAGTAGTAGTAGTAGTAGTAGTAGTAGTAGTAGTAGTAGTAGTGGTAGTAGTAGTAGTAATAAAGTTGGAAGGGACCTTGGAGGTCATCTAGTCCAACCCCCTGCTCAGGCAGGAAACCCTATACTATTTCAGACAAATGGCTGTCTAGTCTCTTCTTAAAAACTTCCAGTCTTGGAGCATTCACCGCTTCTGGAGGCAGGTTGTTCCACTGGTTAATTGTTCTAATTGTCAGGAAGTTTCTCCTTAGTTCTAGGTTGCTTCTTTCCTTGATCAGTTTCCATCCATTGCTTCTTGTCCTGCCTTCAGGTGCTTTGGAGAATAGCTTGACTCCCTCTTCTTTGGGGCAGCCCGAGATATTGGAATACTGCTATCATGTCCCCCCTCGTCCTTCTCTTCGTTAAACTAGACATACCCAATTCCAGCAACCGTTCCTTATATGCTTTGGCCTCCAGTCCCCTGATCATCTTTGTTGCTCTTCTCTGTACTCTTTCTAGAGTCTCAACATCTTTTTTACATCATGGTGACCAAAACTGGATGCAATATGCCAAGTGTGGCCTTACCAAGGCCTTGTAAAGTGGTATTAACACTTCACGTGATCTTGATTCTATCCCTCTGTTAATGCAGCCTAGCACTGTGTTGGCCTTTTTGGCAGCTGCAGCAATGGACTTGGCAATGGACTCATATTTATGACGGTTGCCGAGTCCCGGGATCATGTGATCCCCTTTTGCGACCTTCTGACAAGCAAAGTCAATAAGGGAAGCCAGATTCACTTTAGAACCGTGTTACTAACTTAACAATTGCTGTGATTGACTTAACAACTGTGGCAAGGAAAGGTTGTAACAGGGAGCAAAATTCACTTGGCAACCGTCTCGCTTAGCAGCAGAAATTTTGGGCTTGGTTGTGGTCGTAAGTCGAGGACTACTGTACTGCAGCATAGCATTGGATTTTATTTGTCTGGAGCCACAGTGGCACAAAGTTCAGGTGTTGCCTGCCTCTCTAGTAACTTTGGGAAGGAGCTTCTGGCCTTAACGGATGCTTGATTGATCCAGCAGAGATCTTCCTGTGTTCTCAGTTCTGATTTGCACTTTTAATGGCNGGCGTAAAGTTTGCTGGAATCTATAAAACATGTTGAGGCAAGCCGGTCATTTTCCCTATGATTAGAGACAGCCTTCTGTCTTGCAGCCCCACCATCTGTTACAATTCACCAATGGATCTGGTTAGATTTAGCCTCATGTCACAAACAGAAGCCTCTTTTCCGGTCAATTTCATATTACAGTTTTCGGGGCTTTATAAAAGGGGGGGGGGGTTAAAAAGAAAAAAAAAGGAAAAGAAAGGAAGAAGAAGCTCTAGGTTTGAAAGGATATAAAAAAAAAAGGAGATTGTGATGGCCAATCTTAACTTCCAATGCACGTTGCACATAAGCAGATCCTGGAGTATGAAGTTTTAATCCCCAGCCGTCTTGCACACATGCTCGTATCTACTGATATAGTCAAGGGGATGAACCCCCAAGGGATAGATTTGAAACAAAAGAGCATTTGAATTAAAGCCTGTAACATGTGGAAAGTGAAGTGTTTCAATTCTGGTGAAAGCTATAACTCAGCATGTGGGGGTACGTGTGTGTGTGTGAGAGAGAGAGAGGGGGCGGGAGAGAGAGAAAAGGGTGCGAGTGTACAAATGCGAATTGCATCAAGAAATGAACATTATACCAAGCCTTAGCAGACTGAGAATCGACTTTAAACTCTCTGGCTCCTTATTTATTTATTATTTAAATTTATATACCGCCCTATCTCCCTTACGGGACTCTGGGCGGTGAACAGGCAATAATAAAAATCACAATAAATATTGAATAAAAAGCCTGCTCTAAAATACCCCATATAAAACCCCTAGCAAAGCCCAATCAAAACTACGTCAGGCCGGCCGCATGGAATAGATGGGTTTTCAAGGCTCGGCGAAAGAGGCGCAGGTCCGTAGTTGTACGTAGGTCGGGGGGTAGGTCATTCCAGAGGGCAGGAGCTGCCACAGAGAAGGCTCTCCCCCTGGGGGTCGCCAGCTGGCATTGACTGGCCGACGGCACCCTAAGGAGGCCCTCTCTGAAGCGCAGTTAGTATGGTGCGTGGACTGCTTTTTCACTGTGTTTGTACACGTGTGTGGATTAATGTATCTGAGCATGACATTCAGTGGCATAGTTTGATCATTCATCTAGCACAGGGGTAGGCAACCTTGGCTCTTTTATGTCTCGTGGACTTCAACTCCCAGAATTCCTGAGCCAGCATGGCTCATCTTGGAAACCTCTCCCTTTCCCCTCAGCATGGCTGGCCCATTAATCCAGCATAAAGTTTGGAAAAACATCCAAGCAAATCCTTCTGTGATATGAAGTGATGAACAAGGCTTGTTTTCTAAAATGCAGAAGTTATTCGGGTTTTTGGAACTGTCAGTTTGCACAAACAAAGTCCTATGGCGTTAAGGGAAACTAGACAAGGAATGCTTGCTAAATGATGGTTTCAGTGTGGCTTGTTCAATCAATCACAAGTGAATTTGCACAATTTCCTAAATCATAAACAAATTATACTCCAGCTGAGCCCTCTTTCAGAATCCAGCCATAGGCACACAAACACAGCTAAAGATAAGTCTAGCTTTATTCCGATTCTCACTTTTCCTCTATATATTTGTTTTGTATTCTTACATTTTCCGGTTTTTAAAACAAACAAACAAATCTGCACAAAAGCATTACTCGCTTTTGTGCATATTTCTCATAGTAGTTGCATTTTTGCTCGCATTTTACCTATTACACACATATAAAATGGTTTCCTTTTACAGTTTTTTTAAATGCACTTTTTGGGAGCCAGCAAATTGTAGATTTTGGCATGTAAATGTCTTGTGACTGGGATACGTATCTGAAAGTCTAAACCAGCATCAAAATGAGAAGGGAATCTATTTCACACCCATTCTTACATGCACTTCTTCATTTAAATCCCAGTTCAGTTATTTTCTCCCATAAAATCATGATTTTGGGATTAGGGGATTTATTTTTTATTTTTATTTTTGGCATTTCGTCTTTATTTGCCTTCACTGCTTTTAACAATCTTCATTGTCTTTTGCATTCCTTTGCTCTACACTGATACAAAATACCAACTGAATTAACATTAAGCACACCTGCTGAAGTGAGACTTTTGTTCATGAAAGTCTACTCTGAAATAAAAAATGTTAATCTTTAAGGCACTGGGACCCTTCCACAGTTAAGCCACTGAGCAGCTTATCTAGTTGCACGTAGAGTAGGGATAATAGCAATAGCACTTGGACTTATAGACCGCTTCATAGTGCTTTAGAGCCCTCTCTAAGTGGTTTACAAAGGTCAACCTATTTGCTCCCAACAATCTGGATCCTCATTTTACTGACCTCGCAAGGATGGAAGGCTGAGTCAACCTTGAGCCGGTCAGGATCGAACTCCTGGCAGTCGTCAGAATTAGCCTGCAATACTGTATTCCAACCACTGCACCGCAACGGCTCTTTTAATGGCTTATTGCCAAAATTAGAGAAATTCAATATGTCATATGGATTTCAGGGCAGCTGTGAAAATGTCCTGCCACAGAGTATTCTGATTCAAGCTAACTCAAACATTCTGGAAGTGATCTATCTTCAAAACAAGCCTAACGTGGACCTCTTCCAAAAATGCAGAAGAGTCCATTTCGGGATCAAAACATTGTGTGACAGAACATTTTGCACACCCATAACCTTCAGGAATAATTGGTTATTATTATTATTATTATTATTATTATTATTATTATTATTATTATTATTATTATTATTGTTGTTGTTGTTGTTGTTGTTGTTGTTGTTGTTGTTGTAATGCATAAAAGTACAGATAATTCTCGAGTTACAGCAGTTCCTTTAGTGACCGTTCAAGTTACAATGGCTCAGAAAAAGTGAGATTATGTCCATTTTTCACCCTTACGACCACTGCAGCATTCCCGTGGTCATGTGTTCAACAGTCAGATGCTTGGCAAATTGATTCATATTTATGACGGTCGCAGTGGCCCGGGGTCAGGTTACCTTTTGAGACCTTCTAATAAGCAAAATCAGTGGGGAAGCCAGATTTACTTAATAACCATGTTACTAGCTTAACAACCGCACTGATTCACTTGCCAGAAAAGTCAGAAAATGGGGCAAAATTCTCGTTAACAAGTGTCTCGCTTAGCAGCAGAAATCTGGGACCCGATTGGAGTCGTAAGTCGAAGATTACCTGCCTATTTGAGGGCAAGGGAGAGAGAAAAAAATGAGCCATTTTCTAGCTCTCTTTGTCTATTGTTTGTCTCTTCATCCATTTCTCAAACTTGAAAGAGTTTCCAGAGAGTACCAGCCACCCAATTTTCTGCTGGCGAGTTCAATGGGTCTTCCTCTCAAGTATGGGAGTAGATCAGCGTTTCTCAACCTTGACAACTTTGAGATGTTGTGGACTTCAATTCCCAGAATTCCCCAGCCAGCATGGCCAGAATTCTGGGAGTTGAAGTCCACACCTCTCATAGTTGTCAAGGTTGAGAAACACCACAGTCGATAATTCCATCCTTGTTGTACCAATCAATCATTCGCTTCCCTCTTTGGTTTTCAGTCCCTCTTTGGTTTTGTGTTAAAATAAATTAAGCAAGGAAATTGACCTCTCGTAATTTTCAAGGCACCCATATGCTGCTAGAGCAGGGGTCTTCAAACCTGGCCCTTTTATGACTTGGGGACTTCAACTCCCAGAATTCCTCAGCCAGGTACGCCTGGCTGAGGAATTCTGGGAGTTGAAGTCCACAAGTCGTAAAAGAGCCAAGTTTGAAGAGCCCTGAGTAGAGAAAACATTTGAAGGTTTTGACGATAATCGTATTTCTGTTTATGCCCTCTTTTGCCTTCTGTCTTCTTCCCAGATATCCTCTCCTCCATCACATCATCAGGTTACTTAAATGATCACGATGCTGTTACCAAGGCGATTCAGGAGGCTCGGCAAATGAAAGAACAGCTCCGGCGAGAACAACAGGTGCTGGATGGAAAGGTTGCAGTTGCAAACAGTTTGGGTTTAAACAACTGCAGGACAGATAAGGTGAGTATCTGAGGCCCTTCTTGAGCTCCAGTGATGACGTTGTGCTCTTCAGTCCAAATTCAGCTTTGACTTTTGAAGTGTGGGAAAAAAATAATTCAAAAACTTTTTAGTAGCTCTAGCTAAATATTATGGTAGTATAACACAATCTTGGTCTTACTGACCTGGAGACAGATCTTGGGATAACAACTGATGTCTTTCTCTCTGCGTTTCTGGGTCCATGTTGTCTTTTTTTTTTTTTTTTTTTTTTTTTTTTT